TTCAGAAACAACTATAAACTGCTTGAGGACCATTTCTTCAACTCATGGAATACCAGATATTATTGTATCTGACAACGGAACAGCTTTCACGGGTGTGAAATTCCTGGAGTTCCTCAGAAGGAATCAGATCCGGGGTATCAAGGTACCACCGTACCACCCCGCATCAAACGGTGCTGCTGAACGCGTAGTGCAGTAAGTAAAAAATAAGTTGAAGAAGGCTGACCCCGGCAACTTTCAGACCAAGATCGCCAGGTTACTCTTTCAGTACCGGATAACACCTCATAACCTGACAGGTCGATCACCTGCAGAACGACTGATGGGAAGGGTGCTCAGAACCCCTCTAAAGCGCTGCATCCGGACCTTCGGAAAAATGTTGTTGTAAAACAACTGAAGCAGAAGCTACACCAGGACAAAGGAGCACGTCATACTGAATTGCCGAGGCCTGACTCTAGCATCATTGTACAGAACTTCACGCCTGGTTCATCGTGGTTGCCAGCCACTGTTATCAGACCAACACGTTCATTGTCCGTCAAAGTACAACCGGAAAACGGACCCAACTGGCACAGACACGGCGACCATATCAGGCTTGACGACAGGTTCCCACCGGCCACACCTGAGTTGCCAGAAAGAAATGGACTCGCTTCAATTGCTGAACAACCACCAGCCAATGCAGGAACAATGGTACAAGTAAATGAACCACCAGAGGCTAGAGCATCAACGCCACCACCCGTTGTCTCCACAAACACGTGTCGAGAGTTTGATCGCTACAAAAGACTCCAGTTCTATGCAGATCAACGCGTACAAGAAAATCAGTGCATCGTTATTCTCCCTGAAAAACGATCTGGGGGGAAGGAGTGTTACGATTGATATATACAAAAGCAAGCGCCACCGTTGACACACACGCGCGTTAGAAAATAAAGAGGTGCAATGCACGGGCGCCGGTGGCGCGAGCAGTTCAGCATGCGCCTGGAACACCATCGGACGTGGCCTGTCTCGGTCTTCTTTACTACCTTTTAACAACACCAATCCAGTTTCTTCGCTAAATTTAGCGAGGAATTGAATGGACCTTTTCCAAATACCGACGGCACCAGGCAGTGGCTGCACGAACTAAAAATTGAGGAAGTGACCTACCTGCGCTACCAATCGCTAACGGGAGCTACGCTACCAGTTGCTTCGCTCTCTGAGCTGCGTCGCGTGCCCAACGCGACTTTAAAGAGGGACATCCGTAGCGTCCCCCCGTCCCCCCAAATGTCGTGTTTTTGTTTTCGTCCACTTTCTTTATTTGTGGAACACAATTATATATATGCTGCAATTACGTGTTCTACTCGTTGATCTACAGCCTCATTCCAAATTTCCTCGATTTTTCGTGCCGACTTCCACCGCTTGACGTCGGGCGCTCGCGCGTGCGCAGAACGCTTCTCGGAAAAGGTCCATTGTTGTATTGCGGGTATTCACTGGACGCCATATTTGAGGGCGATGTTTAGGGCGCATGCTCAGAACGATTTTACATTAATAGCCTGCTAAGGTCGGCAATCTTGATGGTCTGGAATGCATGTGTCGAAAGAACTGTGGAAGCTCGCCGTCAGCACGCGCTCAGCAACCACGCACACAGATATGGCCGCCAGTGAATACTCCGGCTGTCCCTATTCGCACCCCGAGTGCGGATAGTGGTGGATTCTTATCCGCACTCCGAGTGCGAATAATTTTGGATTCTTATCCGCACTCCGAGTGCGGATTATGTTGGCTTCTTATCCGCACTCCGAGCCTCCGAGTGCGTGAGTGCGGATTGTGTGCAGAGGCGCGGACTGGCGCGGACGCTGTACCGGGGGCACCGGGCAGCCGCAGCACCGGGGCGGGGGTGGCGGGGGTACGAAGACGTTGGCACGAAGCCGTTGAATTTTCTTTACCTGCACTCCGCGTGTGGCGCGATTATGTCGCGGGAAACTATGAACACAGTGGTTTAGAAGTTCTCAACTTTGTGTTGATTCATTGGCGTGTTGGCAGCCTCGACGAGCGTATGGAAATATTGGTGGTTCCGGTTTCAGAATTAAAATAATTTCAAAGAAATGTTTTTGTTTTATAAAAAAAAAATAATAACATTGGGTGGTGCGCTTCAGATTAAACGGTACTCACGCCTCGAAGATCGGATAGAGGCGATCAAGTGCGTGTGCGTGTGCGTGTGCGTGAGCGTGCGCGTGCGCGTGTGTGTGTGCGTGTTTGTGTTCCCAAACACATCAGCTTTACAATCCCCCGCCCCCCCCCCCACCCCCAAAAAAAAAAAAAATTCTGGTGGTATCTTTTTTTTTTGGACGGTTAAATATTTTTATTGCCGAAAGAAAAAAAGAAAGAAACTAGAGCAGTGTGCAATTTGTGACGTGTATTGTCCCGTGCTTAGATGATGGGGGCAGTGGCTTAGGAAAAAAAAAGGGGGGGGGGGGTAAGGAAAATCAGTCATTTCCAGTAAACAATATTATTAAAAAATGAAGTCGTCCCCCCCCCCCCCCCCTCCCTTCCCCCGGCTCAATCTTCGGAACACTTTCAACACTACTAGATGAGGGAATGCCTGATAAGTCCTCGGCCCAATTTGTTACTGTAATTTTTTTAATAGAATGATTTGCGCTTTTGCAAGTAGACGACGATAGATGTGATGGCTGTTAAAAGATGTTTTTGTGTGGTTGTGTGATCGAAGATGTTAAACATATATGCCGAGGGTGCCGAACACTGAGCTTGCGGGTTTTGGGCGTGGCGGCAGCGGAAGTTTGAAACATCTCTGCGAAAAAATTGGGTTGTGTGTGTGTTTATACAGCCTAGAACTTGGTCTGCTTCACACGGGCGACGAGTCTCCCAGCTGTAGATGAGCAATTTAGCCAGTGCGGCACAACCGCTAGCCTGGGGTCTTTAACGTGCATCACGCAGTAGTGATACACGACCGCACGCCGGTACGATGCTCATCCAGATCGAAACGGGCAGGGGTGGGGCTCGAACCCAGGATCCCTGGGTTCTGCAGCGCGAGCTTTCGCTCTTCATCTCTGCGTGTGTGTGTGTGTGTGGTCTGGGGCGGGGGGGGGGGGGGTAATTGTGTATTGAAAATTGTTTGCTAGCCGCCCACCGTTCCCACATTACTGCCCCTATCTACCACACAATGTTAATGTGCTGACTGTGGCGAAGGCGCGTTATAATACAAATCTGAAACCAGCTTCCGTTTTTTTTTTTGTTTTTTTTTTTGCAAATAATAAACACAGGTCTCCTCCCAATCAAACACCGCACAACCACTAATATTTCTATGAAATCGGTGCTGCCAACATGCCAATGTCACACCACGAACATCGTAAGTCACTATGTTCAAAGTTTCCCGCGTCCAAGTCGCGCCACGCCACACGCCAAGTTCTTCGCCCCACGCACTCGGAGTGCGGATAAGAATCCAACGCAATCCGCACTCGGAGTGCGGATAAGAATCCAAAATTATCCGCACTCGGAGTGCGGATAATAGCGAGTTCGTTTCACACGCACTGGCACCGTTCGAGTTCTCTCCCAGAATGCATCGCACCCACAGAGTGTTGCACGGAAAACTGGACTCAAACGAACTCGCCAAATGCACCGAGTGCAGAAGGCTGATGCTGCCGCCATCTATGTGGAAGAAAAGGTACCGACTTCAAGCCGAAACTAGCGCCTTTCTGTTCCGAGCGATGCGTGGGAATGCGAAAATGCAGTCGCTACCAACGTTTATCTACAAACGTTGGCAACTGCAACCTGTAGTTTATAGTTGCGATGTCTTCAAGCAGCTCGGCTTCCGTAGAGATAGTTACAGACGGCGTAAATTTCCGCAACGAGCTGTCCACAAAGCAGCTGGTTGCGATCTTTCAATCCTTATAACCGTTTACACTGAAGAAGACTGATGATGCTGTCCGAGCAGAAGCTTGATCCGTTTGAGCATGGTATTATGCGTGAGCCACTGAAAGGGTACGGCTTAAAGCTAGCCTGTTGGAATATCCAGCAAAACTGGGACTTTCGATTTGGATCGTCATTGTGGATTAGATATTAGCCTTGGTGAAGGCGTCGAGAACGAGAGCTTTCTCGAACAAAATACGACGGGGCAAGTTAGCTGCGTAGGTAAATGTTAAACATGATGATGTTGCCCAATCCTCGGGTAAAGTCACCATCTTTAGCTTTCTCTGCTGCTTATTGGGCAGTCAGAGGTTTCTGCTGGGGGAGTTTTATCGAAAAATGTTAAATTTTTCACCCGCACACGGATGGTGATAGACATCTCGGGGGCCGCTGTTGCGTTTGTTCTGAGCATTTCTTTACACACTGGTATATTTCAGCGTTTGTACGGCAACAGAGCGATTTAAAACCTGCAAATAAATCACGGGTTGTCAATCGCTTTCTTCGTGAAATAGCAGACGCTCACAATTCAAGCTCGCGTTTGATTTCGTTGCCCGCGGGACGCGATTTCTATCAGAAAATCTACTTTGTTTTCGTTCGGTTCCGCGACACATCGTAGCAGACGAACCCTCGTCGTCTGCTCCCGCTCCTCGCCGGCCCCGCCGGAGCGAGGCATGACGGGATTGCATTTTGGCGCACTCCCGATTTTCTCGGTGCAGCGAGTGCATGCACGCGTGGGGTGTCAGCGCTGAAACGAACTCGGAGAGTGCAACCACTCGTGGAGCGCCGGCCGAAACGAACCCGTTCCACGCTGCGAGTGGGCACGCGTGGGCACGAGTGCCGTGAAACGAACTCGCTACGGATAAGAATCTACCACTATCCGCACTCGGAGTGCGAATAGTCACGCCCCATAATGCAGCGCGCGGTTACGCCGACGCCGCGGAAACCGGGAACGAGCGCCTAAGAGCTGCGCTCTAAAAACTGAAATTATGTTTAAGTTGCCATAGGCAATACAATTGCACGTGGTCACTGAACCGGTATCATTTCTCGCGGACGGAGCCGAGAGGAAGTGCGACGCTTGAGCGTGCGGCCTCGCCGTTGCACGCAGTGAAACTCACCTCCGTCTTGTGGGCCGTCTCCTTGACGAAGCGCTCGAACTCGGCGTTGCTCACTTCGTGCACGTCCATGTAGAAGTCGGAGACGGCTACCCTCCTCGTCGGCGCCTCGCCGTCGGCTACGAAGACCGGCTTGTCCGTGCCCATGCTGAACTCTCCGCCCCTGATGAGCACCATCTGGTCGGTGCGCGCTGTCGGAGCCCCTCCGGGCTCGTCTCCGGGCTCGTCTGGGACCAGCTCCGTCGGCGTCTCCTCGGCCTCGGGATCGCGCTCGCCCCGTTTCAGGGACGAGCAGCCGCAAGACAAAGCACTTCCCTCCGATAACTCGTCGCTCGAGCACTGGGAAGCGGGCGGCGGGCTCTGCTGGTCTTCAGCCCCGACGGCCAGGGACAGGAGGGCCAAAAGGAACAGTGTGCACATGGCAGGCAATCGACCGGTGTCCCGCAGCCACTGCAGCATCGAACGCCTGTGCAGCTTCGTCTACTGTCACAGATGTGTGTGCCGGAAACAAGAAAATAGACAACGCGGTTCAACATCTGGTTGTCGGCGTTCAGCTTCAAAACAGAAAACAATTGGGACACAGCTGGTCCCACTGATCTCTATGACAATAGCTGGATCGCGCATCCCCGCTACAGTATCCCCGCCTGCCGCTTCGTCGCTGCCGTCGCTGCAGCAGCCACTGTACTAGAGTTCCTGTATATGCTACCTACGGTAGCAGAGTTGCGCATTCAGCCTCGGCGCGTGGCCGTAGCGCCGGCTTTCCCGCACGAGATGGATGCTTTGCTCCTCACGTGACTAAATTTGGCGAATAGCGGCGCCGCGCGCGCCGCCGCGCATGGAAAACAGGAGAGGAGGAAAAGGAGGCGGAAAGCAGGGGAACATACGCCGGGCCAAGAGAAACGTCGGCGGAGCGACCGTAAAGGTAGCTTTCTTGCACGCCACCGGATGCTTTGCTCCTCACGTGATGGATCTGGGCGAATAGCGGCGTGGCGGCGCGGGGAAAACAAATGCGCAACTCTGGCTCCCGTAGGGAGCCTATACAGGAACTCTACACTGTACGAGCGTACGAGCAGCACAGGCGCTGGCACAAGTGAAGCCACCGGACGGCCATCTTGCATGCTGCCGAATTGTGTTTGTGGAGCGTTGCGGAGGCTGGCGGCAGCGTGCTGAAGGGACGTTTTCTATTCTTTCGTCGTCATTCGCTCAAGAAGTTGTTTAAACCCCTGTATCAGTCGTGAGACTTGCCGATCAGAATACGTGTAAATTTTTACGGAAGCCCAATAACGCAGGAAGAAGGCACAACTCGTATAGACGAAGTTTTGCCGGTCTCGCGGCGTGCAGACTGTGGCGGCGTGTTCACAGCTCCATAACGGTTACTGTGTGTCATATCCTGTCCTTTCTGTCTTTGTGTTCTAGTTGTTTCTAAAGTTCAAGCTGATATATTTACAAATACATTCACAGCTCCCTTGGCAAAAAACAAAGACAGAAAGGACAGGATATGACACACATCTGTGTGTCATATCCTGTCCTTTCTGTCTTTGTGTTCCAGTTATTTCTAAAGTTTAAGCTGATATATTTACAAATACATTCACAGCTCCCTTGGCACGCCGAAGCGCTGCGTCTCTGTGCCTTCGCACGCTTAGATACCGATCAAGAATCGACACCGTGTGGATGTGTTTTGCGAGTGCAATGTGCATGAAGCCGTATGTTCCTCTGAAGCAGTTTTACTTTACTCTGACAACTGTGTTTGTAACTTGCGGCACTCGCAGTCCAGAAACGAGCTTGATCCAGCGTCCAGTGGCGACGGAAGAGGGGGGGGGGGGGGGGGGGGGGGGGGGTTCGTGTTTCTTTTGTCGTTAGACGGTTTACAGAATACCGCGCACAACAGCTCCTCATCACTGATCAGTGCTGGGTCATTCATTATCAATGCTACTTTATTGCACTTGACGTTTGAGCGTGGCTCGCCTAATGGTGATTCGTCAACAGATTGCACGCGATCGTATGGGCCGCGCTCCAAAAATTTTCATTCTCGCCATCTTCTAGTTCTGCCTTTGAAACGTCTCCTTGCTCCAGCATTGCTCTATTTTGTGCTGCCATGCGATCCACTAGATTAGATTTGGAACATTGCCATAGTTATAATAGTGTATAAGTGCAACCGCACAAATTGTCCCCCCCCCCCCCCCCCCCCCCCTTCCTTTATTAATAGCAACTCGCTGGAAGAGCTGGACGATCCAGAACTCCGTGGCCGACATATGATGCAAAGACATACGCTCGACACACCTACAAAACTTTGCCGCAGCGCCGATTCTTGATCGGTATCCGAGCGTGCGAAGGCACAGACACGCAGCGCTTCGGCGTGCCATGGAAACTTTGATCACGCCCCGGGACCGGAGAAACTAGGGTATCGGCAAGTGTGCCTTCTAGCACTGCGCTTCCATAAAACTTTCCACGTGTTCCCAACGGCAAGTCTCACGACTTACACGGGCTTTAAAAAACTTCTGCGTTTGCAGATGAACGAGTGAAAAACGTGTATTCAACACGCTGCCGCCAGCCTCCGCAACGCTCCGAAAATGCGATTTTTTGTCACGCAAGATGGCCGTCCGGTAGTTTCACTCGCGGGAGCGGGAAGCGCGATCCAGCAATTTTCATAGAGATCGATGGACCAAACATTCGTTTCTAGCGTGCAAGCGAGTTGGACAAGAATGACCAAAATAATCCCTGGAGAAGGGGAATAAGAGGGACAAAGGACAAACACAAATCTCCAAACACAGCTAGGTGACTGGTGCGCGAGCGAAATGATCCGCCTGGTCCGGATATCGAATCCGGGACCTTTCCATTTCCAGTGAAGCGCTCTACCAACTGAGCTAAGCAGGGGTTAGACGTCAGTAGAGCAGACGGGTTTTATCAGCTGCCACCTGTCTAATACCAACAAGGGTGAAAGGCTTGCATTTTAAGGTTATGATTAAATTGCAATTAAATGCAAAGGTGCAAGCGAGCTGGACAATAATGACGAAAATAATCCGTGGAGAAGGGGAACAAGAGGGGCAAAGGACAAACAAATCTAACACAGCTAGGTGTCGGATGCGCGACCGAAATAATCCGCCTGGTCCGGGTATCGAACCCGGTGTAGGACGCCGATCTCACTACCCCTCTGCTTCGACTACGGTAGTGGTTATGGCGTACGCCAAAATCAATACCGTAGTCATTTCGGCGTACGCCAACCGTAGTCTTTTTCGCATACCCCAAACACACTACCCTTACGCCAAATTCAATACCTTGAATAACGTCGGTTCAGCAGGGGTTGAGCCAGTTGAGCTCCGCATTCCGCTAAAACTGGCGGAAGTAACTTTCTGCAGCAAAATACCCTGATTGTTTGTTGTTGTTTGTATGAGCAGCGGAACGCGCGCGGCAGGCGTTGTTAATTTTGATTAGCGTTGATACGGCTGACGGCACAAGCAAGGAAGCTTGGAGTGATTCTGTGTGAATGTGATTTGACATCGCTTCTTTCTGTTTCTTCGATCGTGGTGCAAATGCAGGTGCCCGACTCCCGAACGATTCGAAGGCAAGAGTGGTAGCCCGCCTGTCCGCTGGTCTCAATCGCATGCACTGTCGTCGTTTTGGGCACATCGGAAGAAAATAAGACGCTCACTATTTTAAATAGCGTGCGATCGGCCTGTCTAGGTTCTGGCGACACCGTTTCAGGCTCTATATGAGAAAATTTAGCCACTACAGTACGACTGCTAGCCTGGGGTATGTGCCTCACAACAGATCGAAACGCGGTGGGGGTGGGGATCCCTGGCAGCGGGACCTTTCGCTGTACGAGCTGCGGTGCGCTAACACACTCGACCTCCGATACCCCCTTGGGTCACAGCGCTTGCTGAAAGAAGTTTGGATCGTTTTACGCAGATTTTGCAGTGCGTACGAGACGCACAACTGCTACGTACTACGTCCTAGATGCCCAAACTGAGGCTCGCTACTTGTGCGCACAACTGCTACGTACTACGTCCTAGATGCCCAAACTGAGGCTCGCTACTTGTGCGCGGCTCTCGTGATCTGGAGAACAGTATGCTCGCCATGAAAATGTTGCAGTGAGAAGTACGGAAAAGTAATATTATAAAAGTGGAGTATTTAAAACTGGCTTGCATTGTCACTGAACATATGAAAACAAAACTGATTAGGAATGCCGATCAGATCGGGTGGGAATGGGATATAGATCTTTAAATAGGCTCGGGTTATGTGCGAAGTTGCGAACAGGTGGGCAGGGGTGCTATATTCTCCATCCCCCACATAATTCAAACTCGTTGCCCCCATCCCTGTTCCTATATTCTTCCAATGTGGCAGGTTCTTTTTTTTTTTTTTCTTTGTGCCTAGAGCTGCAGTTTTCTATGCTTCATCTCCCCTTAGCATGGACTGTTAGCCAGATTCTACAAGTGTGAGCTAATTGCTTTGGATCACACCATGGCGGTTGCACGAGCGCTCATTTTCTGCAAGCGCTGTGAAGGCAGTCGAGGCTATACCATCTTGCGCTTGCGCAGCCTTTGCGGTTTGAGGTCCTTTGTTTTGGCCTGTTCTTTTGTGTCTGGGTTTCATGTCCTTTTTGTTTCTTGTTTCGTGTGCTGGGTATGGTTGGAAGTTATGTTACACCTAGTAGTAGGATCTTTTGTAGAAACATTGGTTTGAGAGTAAATGGTTCTAGTACCTTCTTTCTTTTCCTTTGGCCGAGCAGAGAGGGAAAATGGTTTCTTCATGTCGACTTCGGGACAGAAAATAACCCACGATCGGGACAAAGGCAAGTTTGGGGAAACCGTATCTAGGTCACAGCGGCTCAATGGGCAAACAGGATGTGGCTCACGTTTTGTGTGTCAAACAGGTTAGAGAGGCCTGGTGCGCGCGTTGTTTTCTAGCCATTTATTCTCGATCCCAGTCGCGTGTCTAGGTGGCAGCACGTATCCGCCAAAGGGTGGATTGTGAAGGAGGTATGGACGTGTATATAAGGCGGTGTTTGTTGAATAATTCAACTTCAACCTGTGTCCGAGACTTCAATGTTCGTTTCATTTTTTTTTTATTTTCCTAAGTCTCGGGTTTACTATGTTTGTCATTCACCAGCTCACCTGTGTTTTCTCCCTTTCTTCACTGAATAATGTACTGGTCAATAATTATCTGGTCTTACCCAAAGTCGAAGGGAGACCAATGGAGTTTGAGGTAGACAGTAGCTTACCACCTTGACCAGGGCAATACCCTAGATGACGCGTTGCTGACACATGAGGAAGCTCTTGACCCAGGGATGAGCAGGCACAAAGAACCCTTGGTGAACCTGAATCTGAAAAAAGATGTAGCTCTGCGCTTTTTGAAGGCCAGCCCTGTTCCTTTTGCAATGTGTACCGCAGTGGAGGCAGAACTCTGGATGCTCCAAAGCTAAGGCATAATCGAGCCAACACAACGCGGTTGAAAAACTGGCGGTAAATCTGATGCGGGCTGTAGCAGATTTTGTGGCGAGCGTGCTTGGAGGCACTATTTTTTCAACACTGGACCTCACTAATAATAATAATAATAATAATTTTTATTTGCACAAGAAAGTTTGCCCACTCAGCGGCCTGCATTGCTAGACGGTAAGGTTAGTACCCTAACGCATGTGCGCCTGCTAGTCCGCCACT